CTCTCTCTCTCTCTCTCTCTCTCTCTCTCTCTCTCTCTCTCTCTCTCTCTCTCTCTCTCAGTTGAAATGAGAATGAACCTTCCACGTTCTCTCTCTCTCTCTCTCTCTCTCTGTGTTGAAATGAGAATGAACCTTCCGCGCGGAAGGTTCATTCTCATTTCAACACAGAGAGAGAGAGAGAGGTGTTCTCCTTTCTCTCTCTCTCTCTCTCTCTCTCTCTCTCTCTCTCTCTCTCTCTCTCTCTCTCTCTCTCTCTCTCTCTCCCCCTTCCCTCGCTGATGCTGCGCCCGTCTGTTTTATTGCGTCATCTCTTTGTTTTTGTTTTGTTTTGTTTTGTTTTCTTTGTTTTTTCGTTTGTTTGTTTTTTGCCCGTTTTTTGTGGGCTAGCGGTCGCACCCCGGTGGGTACCCCACCCAAAGTGGCGCGTTAACGGCCGCGTCAATTTTATCAAGTAGGGCGAGGTACTGGTGGCTTAAGAAAGATGGCCTGCAGGGCCAGCACCGCGGGAAATAGAGGGGTGGGTGGGAGCCCTTCAAATGCGAGCGGATTCGCCGCGTGAAACGGAAAAAGATCTAAAAAAACTCACTTCTTCCTCCAATCTGCGCAGGGTACCTCGCGGAGTCTCTGCTACTGCGCCGCTCGGGGGAACTCAGCAAGAAGGCGCCTTGAGCTATCCACCGAATTTTCTTCAAATAGCAAACTTGGGGACCTCCCAAGTACTTGCCGGCTGTGTGTCCGAAATTGGATGCAACGGGGGTTTCCCGTTGAACGGTTCAACTCCCGTTGAAACCCCGTTACAACTCCACGCTAAACCGAGTTAGAACGGGGTTCAACTCGACCTGCGAACATTTTTTTTCGCTGGCAATAAATATTCAAAAAAAAAAAAAAAACATATAGGTGTGTAGATATTTTTGCGCTCTACATCCCCATATTTTATTTTATTTTTTTGAGCATTTAAATTATTTTTAAAAAATAAAAAACCTAACCAGACTCAAAACGCGTCGATTTTTTTTTTTTTTTGTCATGTATTACCCAACAAAATAAGGAGATCTTGGTTCCCCTCCTCCTCTCCTTCAACCACCAGTGCCTCGCCCAGCTATCAAGTCTGAGGCTCGGACTACAGGTAGCCCGATCATTGGGTGATTGGGCAAGGTGCAGCAGTCCTTGGGCTAAAAATAGCACAGGCCTGCACTATTAGCGCGGGACTGGGACAGTCCCGACCTTGGGACACGAACAGTCAGTCCTGTGTTAAAAATAGCACGGGTCTGCGCTAAATATAGCGCGGGCCTGTGCTAAAATTAACGCGGGACTGCGCTAAAATTAGCATGGGACTGGGACAGTCCCGACTTTGGGACACGAACAGTGAGTCCCGTGTTAAAAATAGCGTGGGCCTACGCTATATTTAGCTAGAGCCTGCGCTAAAAATAACTCAGGCCTGTGCCAAAAATAGCGCGGCCAACGATAAAAATAGCACGGACCAATGCTAAGAATTAGCGTCGGGCTTGGGCTGGCCCGACTTTGGAATACTAAGGGTCGGCCTTGTTTTCAAAATAAAACACCCCTCTTAATCATAATAAGGGGCCTAATCTTATTCCCCTTGACCATTTCGGGCCGTACTCTTCTCGACACGGCAAGTCCGGTCCAAGTGGTCAATTCTATTTTTCTCGCTAACCCCTGGTCCGTTTCCAGTACCATTTGGACTGCGCCCTACTAATCTGGCCCTTGCAGACGCGGTGGTTCAGCCCAAAAGCCGTGATTCGGTCTCCATGGGGCTGGACCGTCGCGTCGTCTTGTCAGCAGACTCGACCCAAGGGCCAAACCAGCGTGTCAATATTCTGCTGATCGTGACCATATGCAGTCCTATGGTGCGGAGGCTGGCCGCGACGAGTCAACTATACGTTGACGCGGCGCGCCGCTGTCCGACAACCATACCAAACCCCATTCTTGGCGTCCCCCCCAGGATCCCTCTACTATAAAGAGCCTAATGACTTACTTACTCTCATCAATCTCACTAGAGTTCGCATCGTTAAGTGTGCTGCGCCATTATGCTCTCGCGACTGCCACTTTTTTCATCGCTCTCAACTTGCTTGCGCTCTTGCCGCGCTATCGCTTATCGTCGCGCAACTAATTAGCCTTTGCCATGGGGCCAAAAACGCGAGGCTCGGGCGCTTCGCGTGGGAGAGGAGGCCGACAGGGGAAGGCGCCAGATCGACCAATTGATCTGACATACGAGGAGGAGAGATCCGAAGAGGAGGAGTTGGAGAGATGGGAAGGAACGTGCTTGCGCCATCGCTCAGAGGACCGGCGTGGTCGCACTCCGTCGCCTAGGTCCATGATGTACTATGCATATAAATACGAGCAGGGCTATGGCAGCCCACCTCCACGTTTCGAGCCGCCCTCTCGATCGTACCCTTCGCCATATCGTCCTTCTTCTTCTTCAGATCAGCCTCACCCTCGCCAGCTCACCATCCTGCCACAACCGCCTCGCCCTGCGCCACTACCAGATCCGCCCGTCATCCGCCAGACTGCGCCGCCCAATCATCGCTCGTGCGTCGTACTTGCGCTATTCTTCATATGCCAGCTTGACCTGTGCGGCCTCATATGCTATCTGATATATAGAGGCATCATATAAAACATATCTCAATCATCAAAGTGCTCGCCCGCTAGGGCTCGAGTGCTTGCTCAATAAGGCATGGACCTCTGGTCCAAGCCACCATAAAAATCAAAAAAGGATTCGACTTATCAAACTTGCGTGGTGCAGTCACCGCACGCAAATATCATGACCGCTCATGCAGCCCAATCATACTACCAATCCCGTTTTCTTGCACTACTAAATCAGTCTCAATCTTAGGTCAAACCTCTCATCAGGTTTGACCTCGTGCATCATCATAATCAGACCCAATCTTAGACCAAACCCTATCGTTAGGTCTGGCCTAGCAGTCCAAATCTCAGTCCTGGCCATCTCATCAGCGCAACATAGTCCTCATCATTATCTCAGTTACAGCCCAGCCACGGGTGGATATGGGACTAATCATCGAACTAAGGATCATCCGGGTCATCTTGACCAAGGCCGTCTCATAAGGGGGAAACATACCAAACCCCTTTCTCTTTGTTTGTTGGCTCTGTGCCACTTACTGTCGGGTCATACCAAAC